TTTTTTTTTTTTTCTTTGTGTTTCTTTGTTGATTAGTTGAGGTAGGGTGTTGTTCGTTTTTGCTTTTTCTCTTCCGTGGTGTCTCGACTCTAGGTCTCGGGGGTATGTCCCTACCTAAAGTTCGGTTAATTGGGTTGTGTTTTTAGACCACTCGCTTGTTAGTAGTTCTCTCAGTGTGTGTTTTTTTTTTTTTTCATTGAGTAGCCGGCTTGTATTAAACATTGTTTCATACTCTGTTTTATGATAATCATATATCGTTTGGGAAAAAAAAATCAGTTATTGCAATCCGCTATCAACTAATAGAATTATAAACCATTAAATGAGTTCCAAGGTATAACAGAACAAAATTATTTATTTCACTCCCTTATTATCTATCATCTTCAGCAGCATATCCAGAACTTGCGCAAAAAGTTAATAATGCGACCGATGAAAATATGGAAGTTGCTTTGACAATCACTGGCTGACTACTTCTTTACTAACCATCAATTAGCAGAAGAAATGTGTCGAATAAACAAAGGAGACGAATCAATAGTGTTCAAAAGTCGATGTAATAGTAATGCCCAGGTATAAATAACCCTTGCCAAAAAACAAGCTAAGAAAAGCATGGCGGTTATAAAAGTTCCAATACGTCTGCAGCACACTACAAACAACAAAAGTAATGACTCTGAACCTTCAGTATAATATAAAGCTTCCCTTAGAAGCGCACTAGCCTATAACCTGCGGGTAATCATCATGACTGAGATCATCCTCATCATCCCTGCTCAGTTCCACATACTCTTCGAGTGATGATGCTGTAAATAGGTCACCAACTTTTCTCTCGTCCTTTTTTTGAGCCAAGACCGACGACTGAGATTTTCCTTTGTTCATCTGTTAACACACAAATTATATAATCAAATTTTATGTGGAGTGAGGAGAATTTAAATCTTTATTGATTATGAAGTGGGTATAGTTGGGCAAAATAAAGTATCAATTATGAGACGACATCCAAGGGTACTTTCCACAGTTTATCCCAGTGTACAACAACAAACTTACAGCTCTCAGCAAACTTCTTCTTTCCCTCTCCCGAGCATTCTTGATCGCCTAAATTAACCAGAATTTCAATGATTAAGGCGCGAACTCAATAAACAAAATGAAGTATGATGAACTTAAAAACTTCAGTAACAACAAAATCTTAGACCGGCATGTCTCAATATTACAAACTACAAAGGAATTGTGGCAACAATAAGATGAAAACCTCATCCAATGTCTTCTGCTCAGCTTCCACTTCCGAAAGATCTCTGCAAGAAAAGAAAGAACAATACACATACATAAACAGAACTCATTCACCTAAAAAAAATTACTTCAAAGAAAGAATCAAAATTTAATAGCCATCTATAGTAATATATTCAAATTAGTTTTGTGATCCATCTTAAATTAGTAGCAAAAAGGGAAAATCATACCTCCCAACTATCTGGTCAACTCGGCATGAACATTTTGCACAAACATTATGCTCCTTGGCACAACCTAAAAGTGTTACTCTTCACAATTCAATTAGAAACTCCACATGCTTCTAACTATTAAACCACCTCAAATCATAAAACCAAATAAAAATAATTTGACTAAGCAATCATACTCCCCTAACAAAGATACATATTTTCATACTCAAATGCCATATTTTAAAACACATTACAAACAAAAATACGAAATTTCATAGTATAATTTAATGTAAGAAAGTATCAGTAAGCCTAACAACAACATTTGTGATTAGTAAGTTGTTAAGCCAACCAGTGCAGAGATTGTGATAAGCTTGTCGAACATTCCTCTTCGAACACCGCTGACTGTAAAAATGAATTTACAGAACATCAAGACAATGAGCACACAATAAATAAGATAAAATTACTGGAGAAAAGAGGAGGATACTGGGAAATGCTAAGTCTCATTCCGTCGGGATTTGTCGGGTTTTGTAACAGTTAGATCATCAAGTAATCTCGTCGTGGATAATTGATTTACGGTTACAAACCCCGACTGAATGGACCGTAGAATCTCCCATTGATCTATACCATTTGGCCGGTTCAGTAAGGGGCTTATATTTTCCGTATTTTCGCTTCCATTCGATCTGTCCTTTGCAGCGAGGGCAAACCCCTGTTACTTCTGAAAGGGGCCTAAAACTTCCACCGAGTTCCTGCGATTTATATTTATACGAATAATTATACAGAAATACAATGCGGTTGAGTAGAAATATTATGTTATGAGAAATTTACAGTAGGATTGATCTTCTGGCCGGCGTGAGGTTTCCAGGCGAATTTGTTTTGATGCTTCGGCGGACCTTTACGGTGGCTGACGCTGCTCATCTGCACGACCTATCCAACGCCGCCGCCTGTAGTCAGTCTGTTGAAAGAGGTTTAGTTAACTATTTTGATATTTATTTTCTTGAAGGCAAGGCCCAACTCGCAATTGCCCATTCAATTGAAATTAGGGTGTACAGGACAACATGGGCCATTTTATTTCAATATGTGTAAAATGATTTTAGCATAGAAACTACTATCTCCTGTTCATTATAAATGTCGTTTTGACTTTTGTGATTCATCCATTTTATTATGTATTTAGACATTAATATGTCTAGATACATAACAAAATGGATGAATCAAAAAAGTCAAAACGACATTTATAATGAATAGGAGGGAATATAAGTTATTGGTTCAATAAGTTATTGGTTCAATGGTTCACTTGTCGGATCTGGTCGAATTGGTCACAATTTTTTTTATTTATTTCAGATGTATAATATATATTTATATATGTTTTTTTATCATTAACTTTATATTGCAAGACATTTTTCTAAATAATAGTTCAATAAAAGATACAAACGATAATGTTGAATAATGTTTATAACATTTTATTTTATGTTTAAAATTTTAATATATATTTAAGTTATAAAATAGGGAGAATAGAATCAACCTATTTTCATTTTTAAATCACATTTTATGTTTTTTTATTATTGATTAAAAAAAACATATGCATAATAAATAACAATAAATTGCTTCTTTCTTCTTTGATAAATTGGAAATGTATATAATACAATAGATAGCTCAATTCAAATAATAGTACTTCTTTTTTTTTTTAATTACTACAATTTTGCTTGTAAGACCCAATATTGTCCAATAATTTAAGCAATGGAACATATCTGACATTGGAAACACAAGTAAAAAACATGTGCTATTTTAAAGATTTCACAATCTACCGTTGACAAATGCAAAAGTTGGAACCGTTGAACCATTGAAACTGGTCCTAGTTCACCGGTTCGTTCGATTATGAATCGGTTTGAACTGTTCTTGAACTGCTACTCGACAGTTTGATCTAGCAAATCGAACTGGAATGAAGGTCAGTTCTCTGTCCAACCAGTTGAACGGACCGGTCCTGATTGGTTTTCAGAACCATGGTAATTTCAGTAAGTCAATATCTCATTTGTTGTTATTTTTGTGCAAAACGTAAACATAAAGTTTATCTTTTATTTATGGAAAAATCAGTTTTAGTATCTAATATATATCACTTTTTCGCTTCAGTACCCTAGATTTCAATTAATCAGTTTTGGTCAATAAAGTTTTTAAAATTAATTATTTTTTGTCCGAACTATAAAAAAAAATAGTTAAAATTAACGGATGTCGCCTCATTTGTTGGCTGATTCATTAAATCATATATCATTTTGAAACTCTCGACTTGACCAGGGTCGGATCCAACAAAAAGAATGAGGTGGGGCCAATTTTTTGTGTTAATTGAAAAGGCAAAAAGCACGAATAAGACATAAAAATAATGTTATATAAAATGATTCAAAATGAAATCTTAAAATACCATACAAATTATCGTTAATATTTGTAAAATCTACTCACCACAAAACATTTAAGTCACATATATGTAATATGCAAAGATCTCATGATTTTTCAATCGCATCATATGATGTATTTTTTCTACAATATCAACACACATATTGAATTGTTCTTGTCGTGGGTAAAGAAGCAACGATAATTTCTCATTATGTTAGATACAAAAATTCAATAAAATTCCATCTCCAAATTGATTTAATAGTTTACACTAATTTGCATTGGCAATAATTCTCTAATATAATATAGTAGTATGCAAACTCATGATAGGTTTATCTACGGATACAACGGATAAATAATACAGTATAATACAAAAAAATAGTACGAAAGAATGAGGAAAAAAATCAACTTAATAAACAACTTTATTTATGAATTGTTATTGTAAAATTACTCTATATATATTTAGTTTATTAAAAATATATATCACAAAAATTATGTAATAAAAACATAAAATTTCATGTGGGGCCTAGGCCCCACCTGGGGTGACTATGGATCTGCCATTGGACTTGACCTATCAATTCATACATTTTATTTCATTATATGATACCTCAATGTTTGCCAAAATAGTCATTAAAAGTTTCTAAAATTTTTGGACAAATTATGCTTTAAAGTTTGGCCCAATGCTTCTAAAGATCCGAGCATTGGATTTTTATGAAAAATATACATACGTAAATACGTAAACACAATTTATTGAGGAATCCAACAACATAGCTTGATTATCAGTCGAGTATCGATTGTAGGAGATAAGAAAGCAAAGTTGCTAGATTTTCCAACCGCCAAACTCACCAGAAAGTTGAAAACTTTGTCAGCTTATCTCCGGCGATCGGGAGACTCAATTGACTATCAAGATATACTGCTAGAGGCCTCAAAAATAGTTTTCCACATGTATATTATTCATGAAAATCCAACTATGGGATATTCAATGACACTCGCTCAAACCATAAGGTGTATTGTGGCAAAAAAAATGAAACTTTAAACAACTTTTTTAAGGAACTTCGAGGTTAATATGATTAAATAAAAGACATCGTTAGATAGGTCAAGTCGAGAACTTTATAACGGTATATGATTTGTTGAAATATACCACCGGAGGCAGTGGCGGTCGAAGGCGACGACTATTAATTTTAATAAATTTTATATCGTTTGGACCAAAAGCAACTAATTTTATAAACTTTAGGGTTTTGTTTTTTTTTTTTTGTTTTTTTTTTTATCTATACTCACTCATTAAATTAATCTTTTCAACTCAAAATATAGTTCAAACTTAACTCAACCCACTTTTACCGAATATTATCAATATAGTAAATTGATATCAATCAATCATCTCCATACATCACATCAATTTTAATTCACTATTCATCCACTTACATAATTTTAAGTAATCATACTTCCAATCATCTCTCTCGAACTTGTACATCCCATCAACTTTAATCATTATATTTTAAATATTATTTAAATACAAATTCAAAATTTCAATCAATCATCCACTCACTCAAATTTATTCAAAATTAACTCACTTTACCCAATAAATCGAAACCAAACTAATCCACTTTCAATCACGCCCTTCGTTACCTGATTAAGTTGAAGTATAATGCTCTCCTACTCACGGTAGACACATGTTAATATGTCCACCGCTTATGTGACATGCACACATTGATGATGTTAATATATTAAAATAAAAAATACATCACCAATGTGTGCATGCCACATAAGCAGTGAGAATATTAACATGTGCCCACCGTGGGTAAGGGAGCATTACTATTAAGTTGAAACCTTCAAGTACCAAAAGAAAAAATGTGGTATATTTGGGTACCACCAAAAAAAAAAAAAAAAGTTTTTATTTATATTATTTTTGAAGTATATAACTTGTGTATGAGACAAACTCATAGTCATGTGATGCCTACTAGAGGTCTGAGATAAGGGGACCCTCTGTCTCCTTATATCTTCATTATCATAACAGAAGCATTATATAATTGTATAAATCAGGCTATCAAATCCCAACACTTGCAAGGGATCAGAATTAGCAAGTCTTCTCCTATGATTTTTCATTTATTTTTTGCTGAAGAACCCTTGATTTTGTGCAAAGCTGATACTGTCAATGCTTCTGTGTTATTGAATGTGATCAATTCTCATTGCAAGGCTTATGGCCAGACAGTAAATCTTCATAAATCTAACATCTTTTTTCTGCCAATACCTCTGAGGCTGTAAGAGGGCAGATTTGCAACATCTTTCATGGGATTAATGTGGCTAGAAAATCCAAATATCTTGGGTTACCCTTAGGTATTGGGAGAAATAAGAGAGAGGTGTTTGCTTTTGTTAAAGAGTGTGTGATAGCCAAGGTGACTAGCTGGAAAAATAGATTCTTGAGTGAGGCAGGGAGGAAAATTTTGATTAAAACAGTGTTGAATGCCCTTCTTCTTTATGTCATTTCTATATTTAGACTCTCTGTTGTTGTGAGTGAAGATATCTGTAAAGTTATAGCAAAGTTCTGGTGGGGCAACAATGGGGAGGGTAGAAATAGTATTCACTGAGATAATTGGGAGAAACTTGCTAAGCCTAAGTGTGAGGGGGGTTTGGGGTTTAGGCAGTTTTCTGATTTTAATGAGGATTTGATCCTTAAACAATTATGGAGAGTTTTAACAAAACCAAACCTGTTGATGAGCAAACTTTTGACGGGGAGGTATATTCATAACCAGAATATTATGGAGGTGAAAAAAAAATAGTGATTCCTGGATGTGGAAGTGTTGGTTAGAAGCTAGGAACTCGTTAAAACTAGGGATGAGATATCAGGTAGAGAATGGATCATCTATTAATATCTTGGATTCTCCCTGGATCTAGCTGCACCTCGGTTTAAACCTATATGTTGTTGTGAGGATGATAAGAGATGGTTAACAAAAGTTTCTTAGTTGATGTTTGCAAGTGGGAAGCAGTGGAACAAAGAATTCATTGCGCAAACTTTTCAGCAAACTTATGCAGAGCAAATAATGAAAATTCATATTAGTCAGAGGGGTATGAAAGATAGATTGGCTTGGCATCCAGATAAAAAAGAGTTTTTACAGTCTGAGGAGCATATCAGAAGCTAATGGAAGAATTGAGTCTAGTAGAGGAAATATGGGACTGCAGAAAATGTGGAACACTACTCGAAAGTTTTCAATTAAACAGAAGGTGAAAAATTTTATATGGAGATATTGGCATAATTGGATTGGTTCGAAGTTGTGGTTGATTCAAAAGGGAGTGAATAGTGTGCAGTTGGTGTGGGAACAACAGGAAGATCTGGAGCATATACTATTCAAGTGCATTAGAGCTCACAAGGTGTGGAAAATAGCTGGGCTACAATGCCAAAAAATTGATAGAGAGGTGGTAGAGTTCAAAGATTGGTGGAGTGAACTTTGTACATTGAAGCACACTGACCAAAACAAGTACAAAATATCACTATCTACATATTTGTTGTGGTAGTTGTGAAAAACAAGAAACAGTTGAAT